TTCCTATAAACCAGTACTTAGATCTAAAACTTAATGTAATTCAGATCTTTTTTTTTTCTTTTGTAAGAAAACTTCACTGGGGGGCCAGCAGGTGGCATGGAGGTTGGGGCACTGGATTCCTACATGACCGACCATGGTTCAAGTCCTGGACCTGGCAGCTTGCTTTCTCACTTTCTCTCTGTCTCTATTTCTCTGGTCAAATTGAAAAATGATAATAATAGGGGCTGGCAGGTGGCATGGTGGTTAAGGACACTGGACTCCCACATGGCCGACCACGGTTCAAATCCTGGACCTGGAGGCTTGCTCTCTCACTTTCCCTCTCTCTCTCTCTCTCTCACTCTGTCCCTCTCTGGTCAAATTTTTTTTAAAAAAATGAAATAAATGAATGAATAAATAAAGTTAAATAAAATAATTCTAAAAAAAGAAAAGAAAAATGATAATAATAAATAAAATAAAAATAACACTCCATTGGTAGTGTCACTAGACTGCCATCAGGCAGTACATAATGTGGGGTTGTGTGGGTTTTGTTTGTTTGTTTTTTTGTTTTTATTTTGCCATAGGGCATGTCCACTTGCTGCAAAGAGACTGAGACAGAGAGAAGGAAAGTGAGAAATTACCCCCAGAGGTATGGCCATGTCACAATCCCCTCTCTCTCCATTCTCCTCTTGAGATTTTAGGCATGCACACACTCACACTGGGTGTTTTTTCAAGCTGCTGGGTTCAGGACTCAAACTGTGAAGTCGACCATGTGAGGTCAAACTGCCTTAACCTCCACTCTGCCTACTAGCTTCCACTTATTTCTTTTAAAAAGTTTTTATTTATTAGTTTAATGAGAGAGACAGAGACAAAGAAACAGGCAGAGAAAGATAAGCACCCTCCAACGGGTCTCACACCAGCAAACAAGGCAGAGGTTCTGAGGATCCCCAGCCTTTCCCAGCCAGCTGGGATCACAGGCATGCACACACCCCCTAGCAGGTACACATCAACCCCGGAACCAAACTCTGACCTTCCGAGTGGCTTCCAGCGTTGCAGAGTGTTACAGTACTGCTACGCCACTGCGGCTGGGCCGTCACTTAACTTTTCAATTACTCTGACGTATAGTAAGCACAGGAAAGATAAATACTTGTTTCTTTCCCTTTATTAGCAATTATACAGTTCCTAGCATTCTCCAAAGGTGTCCAACATGATATTTTTTTTAATATCATGAACTTAGAGACTTTAAAGGATCTTTATTTCAATCCATTGCAGTTACAATTCTTACTGATGCTCGAGTGATCCCCTCTCTGGCCAATCGTAATCTCTTCAGGTTGGCCCCTGAGTCTTTTCGAATGATAATAGTCATCCCCGGTAATGTTTTTGCTTTCTGGCATCATGCTGTGTTCCAGGCTCATCTCGTCCATTTCCTGCCACAGACCTCTCAGCACCATGCCTCCTAGGAGCTCTGCTTCCTTCCAGTGGGAAGCAATGAGACCACGGTGTGGGCATTTGCGTGTAAGTGCCTTTCAGCAGCCTCTCTTCCCTCAGTCTGCCCTCCTGTCACCGCGCTGCAGAGACTCGGACCACGCCCTGGCTCAAAGTCCTGCCGTCTCTGCCGCTCTCAGGACGAGGTGGGCTCCCTAGGACCACATACCGGGTGCTCAGTGCCTGTCTGCCGACCGACCCCTCGCTGTTTCCGACCAGGCTCCTCACACTGTAACCGGCTCTCCCCACCTGCCCTGGAGCTTGCTCCTGGGCCATTCCTCACGCTAACCCTCCACCTGAAGCATCGACTCCCACTGCCTCTCCACCTCACTGTCTCACTTGGAGTCAGCCTTAGAGGTTTCGCCTTCGCTCAGATGTCAGCTCCACACACCCACCAGGCCAGGCTGGCGCGCAGCTTCCCGTGGCCCACTGTGTTCACGCCTGTTCAGGCAGTGTTTACATGCATCTCCCCTCTGCTGCTTGGCGGTGAAGGACTACAAAGCGGGGGACTGTCTCATCCATCTTTATCCCCAGCTTGGGGGTGACGGACACCCCTCCCTGATCACCATGCTTAGGCAGAATATACTTTTAAAAATGTTATTCCTGAGAGGGAGCACACGTGCACATGTACATGAGACAGAGAAAGCACCTTTGAAGAAGTCTTATCACACTGTGATCCCTGTTCCTCGGCCCTGCGTCTTGCCAGGATCCTGTGCATGCATGCATATGGCTGTTTTCAGGCCAACCCAGGGATCCGAACCTACAGCCAGCCACGTGACTTCCAGCGCTGCCGTTCTATTTGCTACTGACTGCACCGCCATCTCTTTTTTTTTTTTTTTTTTTGGGGGTTTTCACTTTAGGGGGGGTGGGCCCCCCCAACCACAC